GTGGGACCAACACGGGTACAACTCAGTAGCCTCTGCAGTACCAGCACCTGAGACGGTCCCTCACAAGCAGCCAGGAGCCAATCTTCCCATGTGGAGGCTGCCCCCACAGTCCCCCAGGGCCTGTGCCAATAACTACACCCATGCTCTCTAACGCAGCTTCCCAATGCCATGAAGGAGGGTAGCATGCTACCATACCACCAGTATAGAGGCCAGCCAGGTGGAGCTACCACAGACACCGACGGCCCTTGGGGGAGCTTTACACCCTTTTGCAGGCCTCCCCACCTTCCTAGGGATGAACCCACTGAGTTTTTAAAAGCTGGATCTCATTTTCAGCCTACGTTTCTGATCTCCGGAAACCTCTCCGGTCGTTTGCAGAACGCTCTGGCAGGACCGAAGCCTCCTTTTGCCGCATTCATAGCCAGGTCACTGGGTGCCAAACAGATGCTGAGGGCTCCAGCTGGATCGTGGCCTCTCCAGCCACTGTCTCTGCTACATTCCATGACCAAGCTGCCTTAAAAACCCCTTCTGAAAGCAAACAAAACCCGGGTCTGAGAACCTAGAGGAGCCAGCACCGGCATGGATCCGTTTTCTTTCTTTTTTCTTTCTCTTCCTCCCTCCCTCCCTCCCTCCCTCCCTCCTTCCCTCTTTTCCTTCCTTTTTAAGTACATCTACAAGGGACTCAGGTAAAGCTGTTGCCCCTCTCATGTTGCAGATGGGTAAACCAAGGCCCGGAGACAGGAAAAGGGTCCGAGATCCCGTAGGTTCTATGGCTGGGTGGGAGTTCTGGAATCCAGGCAGGACTGACTCAGACACACAGGTTCTCTGGGCCATATAATCTCTGTAGTGACAGTCTTCAGTGAGGAAGGACCAAGTACGGATACCGTACCTTGCCAAGACCCAAAGCATCCCCAGCGTTTGGCAGGGCCCTGGACCCACCTGGTACTCCCCTGATGTAAGCCGGCCCGCGTGGGCAAGGCCGGGACCCTTGGGCTCCCTGGCACAGACTGAGTGGTGCTCAGCAAATGCAGGAAGAAGTCTCTGGGGAGGCCTTGAAGCTCAGGGGCAGGGCTCCAGAAAAGCAGGCTGCTCTAATGGAAACCAGTCAGTGGCTAACCCCCCCTTGGTTTCCATGGGGACAGGCTAGGAGGTGGAGCTCTGGCGTGGCTGCTGCAGCAGATGTGGCCTGTACAGGGCTGGGGGGGGGGGGTGGCGCCTGGCAGGGAGCCCTGGGACGTGGCAGGAGTAGGGCTGGGCGCGGGGCCCTGCAGCCATAGCCCTGACGGTCAGCTTTAGGGAAAAGACCGGGGCTGTGGGTCCACCACCTCCAGGAAGTCTCCTGGATTCCTCAGGTGCTCCAAGCCCATAATCCAAGCCTTCTCAGAAGGGACTGGGCCCATGGCATCTTAGTGAGAGCGTGGCCCTCCTGAAGATATCTGCATTTGCCACGCCAACCATGTTGGTGCTCTGTGAGCCTCAGGCCTGCTGGTACTTTAGAACGGGGTGGAGGGAGGGCAAGACCCCTAGAGGACCCCACACAGTCCTCTCTATTGTACTCTAGCTGGTGCTGGTGGGTCTCCTCCCACAGGCACACTTGGCCTGGTGTGCTGCAGGGCCTAAAACCTGTGCCATGTGGCCCTGAAGAATGGAAGGAGCCCGGCACTAGTCTGATATGCAAGAAGAGACTCTGGGGGCTTTGGGGACTCAAGTCCCCAGCATGGGCCACAACAACTGATGGCTGGCTGGGATTCTTAGAATGCTTCCTTGCTCCTTATGTGGAGCACAGTCCTTATTCACCACAAAGAACTGGCCTTTTATGAGCCCACCATGACCTGGGACACAGCATCTAGGCCCACAGTCCCAAGTAGCTCCCTGCCTCAGGGCCGTGAGGAACAACGGTGATACCATGTTCCTTCGTTCTCTCCTGCTGCCATCCCGAGCACCTCAGACCATGAAGGTATAGAGACCACGAACTAGGGCAATGTCCTAGACCCTTTCAGACCTGCAGACTCCAGCGTAGGGGTAATGGTAGTTCTGTCAGGGAGAGGTCTGCAGCACCCCCAAACCTACATGGCCAGGATAACTTATTTCTGCAGCAGTACCCCAGGCCAAAGGGAAGATCCTTACTGGTGTCGGGTGTCTGAGGAGAACCAGCCAAGGTCAGCCTCCAACAGGCAGAAAATAAACAGGGGTCCAATGCCAGGTTGTTCAGCTCAGTCATGGGGAAGGTCTTGGTTAGGGTTCTGGTACCCAAGCTGTGTGACTGTGGGAAAGTCCCTCAGCCTCTCTGCACCTATATTTTCTTGTACAGAACAGTTGATATCCACCCCTCCTTAGACTAGGACTTATTTCACTAAGGCAGGAACCGTGTTCTGTTTATTCTACATTCTAACTAGTTCAGCATGGGTTCTGGTCAGATGTTGAGATGGAATCGAATTGGATAGATATGAGTTAAAAAAAAAATGGACACTGTTTTTTTAAAAAAAAAAATGGACATGGTTTTTTAAAATGCATGAGAAGTCCCAGCCTGGGCCTAGCACCTGGTAGGTGCTCTGCAAAATCAGTTCTCCTAGTTACACAGACTAAGACATGTTTGTGATATCCAACCGGCACTGGTGCTCTCTGGGGAGAGCCTACCGTGGCCACACTCTCACCCGGGGCCAAGGCAGGGGCTTTCAGCTGCGGAGGTCTCCGCCTGGGTCTGCCCACCTGGTCTTATCCCCTCCCTTGGCAGCTGGACACTGACTAGAGTAGCCATGCCTTTGCTACCCTGGCACCTAGCTGAGGTCTTAGTTGCATGCTTGGCCTTGGGACTGCCCACTTTCGGGTGCCTAGCATTGGCCCCTCAGCTGGATGGCCCAGAGGGTCACCTGTTCAAGACTGATCACATCTCAGGGGCAGAGCTTACCCAGGGTGCCACAGTACTCTGGATGCAGGCCTGAGAGCCCCATGCCCCAGCCCTCAGGTGCCAAGTCTCCCAGTGTACTGGCATTGGGAGACTCTATGTTTACAGAAAAGGCCCGGGCTGGATGGAGTGTGTCTCCCTGACACTAAGACCTCTGGTAGCAGCCACGTTGGACTCTGAAGGGGTTTATCAGAAGATGACATGTGCTAGCACTTGGCAGATGGGACAGGCTACTAACAGGGACTTTGAAAGTCTAGGCCCAGGTAAGGTTCATCCATAAGCCCTGGCAAGGCGAGAGTAGGCAGGATCCCAGGATCCCTTCACCCTCGCCTGAGCCAGAAGCATAGGCACACCCACCCCAGGAATCCCGGGCAGGGCTGGGCGCCCAGGAAACTGGGCCAGAGGTTCCCACACATACTAGTGTGGCCAGGCTACCTCCTGAGCACCCCAGCTCCAGCCTGCACCCCCTACCCAAACTCAAAGTTCAGAAGCCTAGAGTCAAAAAGCCCAATGCCAAGGACTCTTTTCCATGGTCCACCCACAATTGCTACCCATCAACACCCCCGCATCTGGCCCAGTGCCCCATCACGTCACAGGTATTTAATTTTACAAGAACCCGTGTTGTCGATGTCTTCTCATTTAGAGACGGGGGCATTGAGGCTGAAGTGAACAAGTGCCTCACTTGAAAATTCAGGCTTCCTAGATCTTCCTACGAGGACACAATGAGGTTAATAAAGACAACAACTCATGGGCTTCCCAGCAAAGAACTCACACGAGCTTCCTCCGGGGTCTGAGATTGGTGCTGTAACCCTCTTTTTAAAAATCAAGCTCCAAGGCCTGTAGAAGGTGCACCGGGCTTCTGTCCCATCTCGTCCAACCCTTCAGCTGTACAGTGTTCCTGGCGGGCAAGCCCTCTCCTGAGCCTAGCATGCGTGTAGGCATACACAGACCTGCCTGGGAAGGCCCAGCCCTGTGGGTGGCTCCTTGGAAGAAGGCCCCTAGCAGCTGACCAGCAGCAGTAGCAGGACTTCCGGGCAGCTCCCCGCCCTCGGGCCCGCCTTCCTAGATTCTCCGCTCTGGGCCGCCATTTCCTCTGCTGGGCCCAGAGGCTCACTCTCATTCCTCCAGGTCTGCAAATGGCCGGCGCCTGGAACTGTCCATCCACGTAGGAGAAGGCAGCCTGGGCCTTGCCTGGGCCTGATGACTACCTCTGACTGGCTCTGCCCTGGGACTGACTGTACCCCACTCCTTTCTACCTCAACTTTCCCCAGCCTAGGGATGGGGTCTCATCTCAGGTCCCTAGGGATAGTGCCGGGATGTCTGCTGCAGTTATTGCAAGGGTGTACAAAGGGCTCCAGGGTCGACTTGAAGAAGAAGAGACAGTCTCTAAAAGACACCGCCCACCTTGGTGGAAAATGTCCATCTATTACGGGTACCTGGGCTAGGTCTGAACGCTAGCCACTGGGAAAATACAAACACCCATGTAATGTGTGTACATGTCACACACACAAGGTATGCACGTTTCTCTGCAAAGACCTCATTGCACATCCATGTTCTAACCTGTACATGTACGGGGCACACACCAGTGAAAAACTGTAGCTGACCCACAGGGGCTCTGGGCCCAGTGGGGCCTGATTCTTGACTAACTGCTCAGCTGGCTGAATCTCTCTGATTTCCCCGCCTCTCCGGGTGGAAAGGAGAGGGGAGTCCCTGCTTTGGGAATGTTTTGAGACTCCAAAGTACTGGTTCAGGGCATGCTCCATTAACTAAGATTTCTGGTGCTGGCTAGGCCTCTGCTTCCTGTTCCCATTATATAGACAAGGAAATAGAGGCTCAGAAAGCAAAATGACTTATAGTTAGAATACAAAGCCAGCCCAACTTGTCTCCCTCCCCGAGTATATGCTCTTCCCAAAGTGAAAAGCCACTGTACCCCCGGCCCAGACAGTACTGAAGCCATGCCCGTGATTGACACAACACCCTCTCGCTTTCTTTGCCCTCACAGTGCCCAGTCCAGGGACACACGTTCCCCTGACTCCGAGGCAGCAGCTGACAGACGGACAGACCCACGGGATGAAGAGGTTAGACACTCAGGACTCACCACTCCTAGCCAGCTGGGGAGGATTTCACCAGTGTTCCATTTCCACTGTTCTCTGACATCTCCACCAACAGGTACAAGCCTTCAAATAAACAAGCCACAACAAAGTACTTCTATTAACAAATGGATGCGGGGGCTGGAGCTCCCGGGGATGATGGGGATGTGTGTGTGTGTGTGTGTGTGTGTGTGTGTGTGTGTGTGTGTGTGTGTATGCACGCGCACACGTGCAGCTAGGCCCTTCCTTTCCTCTCTCCCAGTGCAGGAGCCTCAGATGCTCTCTACAGGCAGGGAACACCGCATCCGACTCCAGAAGGACAGAGGTCAGTGCTTAACACACGGGAAAGGAGCGAAGTGCAGCTTGGAGCTGATTACATCATCACATGTACACAATGCCCAAAATAAGCAGTTATCATCGTCTGCAAATTACTGTGGCTGTAAAAGTGCTCTGGCCTCTAGTGTGGTGATACAGTCCACACTACTTTATGCAATTGACCCACTGAATTTTTTTTTCAAGTTTGAACTTAAATGTACTTTTTGACCATTTGAAATATTTATTATTTGGGTTTTTTTTTTTCCATGCAGGTATCAAAATAATTACATGCACGGTGACCCAGAATAACCAGAGGCTGAACCTCCTTATAGTTAATAAGATATATTAATAATTCCATGCCCCACAAGTTGGAATTTAAGGGTGGGTGCTACAGTGTGCATGTAGCAAAATGAGATTAAAAATTGGTTAATTAATTAAAACACGGAAGGACCTTTGACACGGGGCATTTGGAATCTTAAAAGATGGAGACAGAATCGGAGAGCTGACCCTATAGGCAATGGTACTGCTGGCCAAGCCTGACAATCTGAATTCAATTCTTGGAAGCCACACGGTGGAGGGAGAGGACCGACGGACACCTGTAAGCTGTGTTCTGACCTCCACGTGTGCCATGGTGTGCAAATGCCTACACACACACACACACACACACACACACACACACACACACTCACGGCACACATACATGTGTATACAGAGAGCAAAAATTTAACAAAGCAGTGGTACTCCGTCAGCCCTTCCAGAAGATCATGGAACAAGTTTGCTTCTCCACACAAACGCAGCTTGTTTATTTTGACCTCAGTTCTTCGAAATTGTTGACTCCACAATTAAAATATGCCGTGTGTTCCAACAAGTACCAGGCAGTGGTAATGACAGACCAGCCCATCTGTGCCTCGAGAATGTATAATTTCTGTCTATAGTGGAATTTATATAGAAGCAATGATGTGGAAAGTGCTTTGCGTGGTACTTTCTATTTTTTTTTTTTTTTAAATACTGTCAAAAAGCAATGGGTGCCATGGAAAGAGCTGAGGGTTTTTTGCCCATTTTTTTTTTTAAACAGAGTATGACATTTTACATTTGGGGGACAGGAGGTCTGATTCTAGTGGAATTTAAAACTTAAGGTGGCAAGTGGATCCTCATCATTTTCCCAGGCGCATAAGGACAGTGTGACAGACACACACTAAGAGCAACGGGTAAATTTACTCAGAGTGGAAGGTACTAATTTAACGGCTAAGATATTTATGTGAGTTATTTTTCCGCTACTTTCCCTCATCTTGTCCAAAAAGGTGAATTACCACTCAAGAAATGCTACCACACATCCATCCAGAACTTAAAGTTGGAGCTATATTCACCTACGTTAACTATTACAGACAACGGGTGAGGGGTGGGCAGCTATTAAAATGCAGACTCTTTCAAGCCGCTCATCTCCCTCGCCTAATCCCCTCTTTGCCATGCTTTTGCCTTTGAAATATATTACACTGTTTTTTTTTCCCTATTACTTTTATTTTGCCACTAGTGTTTTATCCGATGCTTGCTAAATATTTGGGTGGAATGAACCCTCCAGCTTGCAGCAGCAGAATGTGGCTGTCATAATCGTGAAAATGTTTTAATTATCTCAGCTATACATGCCTGTCTCCGCAGCCCCAAACCCTTCGGTATCAACTGCTGCCTAGCGTAAGAACAAAAGCAGCCAGGCTGGGCTCCGTTTTCGTATTTGGTGGAGTGTGCTCCGGGTGGCTGCTGCGGCCGAGCCCCTGGACACATAGAGCCCATGTGCCTCTGCACTAGGGAAACAAAGATGTCTGTACTTGGGAATTTTCCTCTTCCTGTGCAGTGGAACTTTCTGTGTAGGATTTTCCAGTTCCCATAAATCAAGACCCCAGCTACCCTCAGACGGAGAGAACCGGGCTGTGGTCGGGGGCGCTCTTGTCAGCATGCCAGAGGGGTGGAGGTGAGCAGGCAGCTGAGCTCTGCAAATGTCACCTTTTTATAAAGGATGGGGGCCTGGGACTAAACTCAGATAGCCACTAGCTCAGCTCACGGGCAGCACTGGCATGACGGGTTACACAAACGTCTTCAGGAGCTCCCATTGGGCACAGTTTAGGCTCTGTGTGGCCTGGCGCAACTATGCTGGTGAGGAACCAGGATGGGACAGGGTCTAGACAGGCCTGGGAACCACTTGGCGATCTCTTCAAAGGTCTGCCTGGTGACTGGTGCCCATGGGCACTTCTCGACCAGCCTGGCAAGGTGGTTACAAGCTGGGCACTTTACGGTGATGCAGATTATCTCAAAAAAAAAAAAAAAAAAAACCTTAAAAACAAGTGCTTAAAAAGCAGAGTGCAAAACCCCAGATTTTCCCCACACTGCGCTGTCGGCCAAGAAAAGCTTTCTTCTTTTTTAAATAAATAAATAAATAAATAAATAATAAAACGAAACGAAAGGCAGAAAGAACTAAATCCCTAAACTGTGGAAATGGTGGCATCAGGGATGCAGGACAGAATAAAAGAACCTCTGTTTCTGAACACGAAAGTCCTCCCTCCTGCATGCGGCCGGCCCTGCCCTCGCCCTATGCTGGAGGACCCTACGATGGTTCTGGATTTTTCCCCTCTGCTATTCCTGGTACTGCCAAAGTTAAAAGAAAAAAAAATGGTAATGAAATAATAAGACCCCCTTCAAGAACAAAGCGACACAGGAAAGGAAGGCTGGCTTTGCCGACTGATGCCTCCTCCAGCCCTCATTCCGCTCCTAACCGAACACGCTGCCACTGTGAAATACCGAACGAACGAACGAACGAACGAACGTGTGTTTTCATTATCATTTTGAAAGCCATAGCTTTGGATCTGAAAAAGAAATGGCTTGGTTTCTGTCTCTTCCCTGCAGTTTTTTTGGCAGTGCCCGCTTCTCTCAAGACTAAGAGGAGGAGGAGGGGGGCTCTGAAATAGAATTTGGGGTTTGGGTTAAGCCAATTAGAGGGAAGGAGACGTAACAGGCACGGAGCACAAGATGGCAGGGCCCTCTGCTCGTCCCCAGCAGGAGAAGGGGAGAAGGTCACTTACCAAGGAACTGAAGGACAGGGTCACTTTCTCAAAAGCCAGGAAGTGAAAACGATGTCCCCCTGCCCTGGCTGGGTAAGAGGGCTCCCGCTAGCCAAAAGGCTGTCCCCAGGTGCCAGTCTCTGCCGGACAGGCCCTTGGGCCTCCTGGGCTCTGGCATCCATCAGTCTGTAGGTCCTGGCCTGGGCCTTGGCTACTCTGGCACCCGGGGTTAGGACTGCCAGGAGCAAGTGGCGCTGGGGGAAGGCCCTGCTGCCAGCCTAGGAGGATGAGGAAAATGCTACTTTTGTCTCCTGCTCTCTCTCATCTGGCACTGGCTCCTAGGGAGGGGGGGGGGGGCAGAGGCGGCCGCTACAGCTCGGCCCCGCCCACCGGGAATTTTTGAAAGATGCTCGTGGGTGCCTGGAGGATGGCAGACGTGGCAGAGGCGGGTGGGCCGGGCCCCCAAACCCACCACCAAAAAAAAAAAAAAAAAGGCGGGGGCTGGACGACAGGGAGAGGAGGGAGGATACCACAGTGCCTGACCACTCAGCAGCTAGCCTGAGGACGCCTGGAACACCAGCCCAGCCCCTGCCCAGGCGACAGCCAGCCCTGTAGATGGGCAGGGTGGCCCTGGCGCCATGTTGCGACTGCCTGGCAAGCCAAGCCGTTCGGAGGGGCCTGGAGTCCAGGCTGCCCGAACTGCTCCAGATAGAGGCCGCATTGTTCCTATGCTGGGTTCTACAGAGTAGCAGGAGGTGGCCGGCACTCGGCTGTTCTCCTTTGGGAGAGCCAGGGCTCCCATTCCAGCTACCCCCCTGACCAGGGTTCTTAGAGTGACCCATCCTAATCATGGAGCCTAGAGCTGCCTCAGTCAGGAGTCTGGACTGTGGGTTTGAACTTGGCTAAGCGTCCACAAAATTGTTCCCAGTCTCCATTTTTCTCACCTATGTTAACAAGGGAGAACCTAGCTGATGGGATGCATAAAGCATACCTGGTGCTGAGCACTGTGCTCAGTACCCAATGCCTGGGAGAGCCAGGAGGATCCCAGAGGGACCAAGCGGCCAAGAACGAGGAGAAGGGGTGCCAGGGTAGTGCCAGGGTGGTGCCAGGGTGTCCTCTCAGATCCCTCAGTGGAACTAAAGCTACTCCTTGTCACTGCCTTGGGGACACGATCCTATGATGCAGCCCTCTGAAACAGCCCGAAGGGCTAAGGGCCTGATAGCGGTGGACTTTGCTGAAATTTATCAGATCCCGCCACCCCCTGCTACAGGTGTCTGCCCCTGCTAGATCTGCTTGGCCATTCTCTCAGCCCCATGTCACTTCGGGTCCTTTATATGACATCAGAGGTACTCACGCAGAAACGCAGTAAGTCTGGAGTATGGAAAGGACTCAGGAGCGGGATCTGGCACCCCTCCTCAGACACCTAGGTACCAGAGAGCCAGCTCGGCCACTGAGGATGGTAGAGGGGCCACTGCCCATGGGCCAAACTTCTCACCATGTGGGACATGTTAAGGGCCTTTCTGTCCATGGTGATTCAAGTAACGGGTGGTCAGGCACACCATGTAGATCTGGCCTTCCCTGGGCTGCCTGCTTGTTTTGTACTGCTTTCTGGCTGCTCAGACAGTCATGCTGAAGGCCAAGAAGAGAAAAGGCAGAGTGAGCTAAGAGGAAGCTGCCGGGAAGGAGTCTTTGGTCTTTAGCTCTGGCCTCACGCATACGGCCACGTGACTGCTTGCCAGCTGACGCCAGAAACAAAGCAGGTAGCATTCCGATGCCATGCGCTCGACCAAGAACGCCGGGAATCCATGCCAGCAATGGCTTGGCATGGCTGCCAAGAGCCTGGCCCTGGGAGGAGAAGGGTCCCTATGCTGTGTGAAATGTTCTGCCAGTCTACAAGGCAGAGAAGCCACTGAAGCCCTAACCGGTAGCTATTTGGGGGTCCTGCTGAGACAAGGGAAAAGAGGCAGAAGCTGGATCGCATGGCCATAGGAGGCGGTACCCCCCTCCCCAGACACCCAGTGTCACCACAATCAGAAATGACTACTGCTGTGCTCAGCTCGCCATCCAGGAAACAGAAGCCTCACCACAACTACAGCAGGCCATTGAGACTTTGAGACACTAGAGCATCATGGAGGTCAGTGGGTCCTTATCGGATGCAGCCGCATGCCATAGGCCCCATCAACAAGCATTTCTCTAGGTGGGAAGGCTCAGCAGTTGGCATGCATGGACTGTGGCATGCTCATGAGTCCCTCCAGGTCAGAACCAGTCCTGTTAGGTCCGAATGCTGTGTAATCCAGGGTTGGATTGGCCACGGTTTTTCTTATTGCCCAAAGGTATGGGGAAAGGAGGTTGCAGGGCTGGCATGATTTATAATAATTTAAGATGTAATTATAAAAGCTCGATTTGGATGTAAATACCTTTTTTAAATATATCAAAGGAAATTCTAAATTTAAGATATTTCTGCTGAGTGCTACTCTGGCCAGAAATCCCAGTAGTAAAGAAGAGCAGTTCACGGAAAAAGCCAGCCCGGTATCAGACAGCCAGAGCACCTAGACAGCATTCCTCTTTAACCTGAAGGGGAAACTTACCCCGCCTCAAAATATATCCCATGAGGCTGTCTGCCTCGTGTGTACATTTTACCACCACAATGACAAGTCCTAACCCTCAACCCTACCCAAGCCTGATGGGCATCACAGCTCACAACCCTCCCCACCATTGCCTGAACAGTCAATTCCAGATACCTGTGCACACACATCTGCATCATAAGGAGATTTCCAGACTCCCAACTAGAAGATGCCAAAATCCAATGGCAAGACTACATTGCATTTTGTGCCTGCTTCCTCCAGCAAGTGAATAGAACCCATGTTTTTAGAGGGGTTCTTTTTGTTTTGTTTTTGTTTTTTTCTGCCCAGGACACACGATTTCATTCTTTTCCATCATTTCAGCCTTAAAGGACGTGTGGACATCCCTAAAAGTTTCTTGGCTTGGCATCTGGAGGCACAGACTAATATAAAAAGTGGGGTGCTATGAACTTCCAGCATTCAAAATAAACAAAACCAACAAAAGCAATTTTTAAAAATAAAAAACCTTACTCAGAAGACAAATATTATCGTTTACCAAAAAAAAAAAAAATTCTTTTGAGTAATGAGTAGGTGTTCCCTGCCAGGGCCTGTCCCTTGTCTGTCTTCCTGCACTGGCTTTGGCAGAAGCGTCTTGACTAAGGGTCACTTGAAGTAACAGGTGTCCTCTGACTAAGGGTCCCCCTTGGAATCCCCAAAATTAGGTAATGCTAGCACTCTCTATATAATCTCTAGCCACAGCAAGGCCACTCTGAATCCCTAAGGTGAGCCTCAGCTACTGGCCTCGCTTTTGAGGTGGCCCATCCCCAGTCATAGCTTGGGCCAGATCAGTCTTCGGAGGGTAGGCTGGGAATACTCTCCTTGGTGTAGAGGCCTCGGGGCTACAATTCAGAAGACAGTCTTCATGGTTCCACACACTGGGTTTGTTTATCACAAGTCACAAAATACTTTCGATAGTCTAGATTATAAAAGAATGGCCAGTGTGGGCTTCTCCACTCCAGTTAGACTCCCACAACCTACAGGCCACTCCCAAGTTCATCTGAGAACAGGATGTGAGGAGGAGGAGGAGGAGGAGGAGGAGGGGGAGATGACATTGGAAAACCACAAATATGGGCCCACACTGTCTGATGAAGCCCCAGGGAAGTGATTCTGCCTCTTCGGGTCCATTTTATTCACTTCCATTCTGAAACCCAGCTAGGCTGACCAGACTTGGCCTAAGGGAAACCTCAGCAGGCCCATAATCCAAAACCTGGACACCTTTCCAAGGACTGCAGACGAACCCCCTGTGGCCTTTGAAAAGAAATCACAGGAGGAGAAAACTGAATGAGTCAAAGTTTAAACTGCACCCCACAAAGAAAGATGGGCACACGCGTTGGAACTTTCCCAGAACCACAGCTCAGGGGACTTTCATTTTCCCCTGTAAACCTCTGCCCTTGACTATGGGGCCAGGGCCCACAATACTCGAATGCTTGAACTCTAATGACTGTCCCAGCCAGTGGAACATTGGTCAGCCCTCAAAATAAATAGCCCATATAAAAGATCCATTGTCTTTGCTTGGAGACAATTGTTGCTTTTTCTCATGTATCATCCCTGTAACATCAGAAAGTCTGGCTAGTGCCCTTAAGGTTTCTTTTTGTTCCAACAAGGTGCTTTGAGAGGGGAAAAAAAAAAAAAGGTAATCTTGCTGCGTCTTTCGGAACAAAGAGCCAGGAGAAAATTTCTTCAAAACCCGCTATTTGGTAAATTTTCCCGTCACTTGTCAGAGTGGCAAAACTCTCCTATCAAATCCCTGTTCGCATCTCTAGTAAGGATGCTGGAAGTTGCCATGGCCATTCTGGACCACCATCAGGAACAAAGTTCAGAGCCGGACCAGCACCCTGAAGTCATTTTCCAGGAAGACCTCATTTTGCCTTGTGAAGGGGTAGCACATTTTGAGTCCCCAAGGGAACCTCTGTCTCATCTCCCGTACCTAATACAAAATCCACAATGCATATAGTAGTCACATTCACACAAAATCCCCTGGAACGTGGAAAGTTCTGGCTTTGCAAGTTCCCGCCAGCCAACCCTAAGGTGCTGGGGAGTCAACTTCTTGGTCCTTTCTGAATAAACCAGAAGTGGGATCTGTTACCTGAATATAACACATCATTTAGTGCACAAGGTATTAAATGATAAATATATAAATAACTATAGCGATTTCATTTACAATAATGACTATAGAACAGCCACTGGATGCTCCCTGACAACATGCCAGCAATAATATCTTATGAAAATAATAATAACAATGTTGCTTGTTGCCCTCATCCTCTGAGATTGGCATCTCTATTCCTCTTTGGAATGCTCACGGTACAGGCCTGGGGAGGCAACAGGACTTGCCTGGGTCACAGAGTGAGTAGCAGACAAGGACAAATTAGAACCTGGAATGCTCCAACTCCACGCCCTAATGTGAGCTTGGGCATTCCAGCCTCCTGAGTTCCGTGTCAGTATTCTCCCTTCACTCCACACATGCAAATACAACCCTGAAAATCCAACCGAAGCAAATAAAAACGAAGCGTGGAAGCTGTAAGATGTCGCTTGCCTGGCCCAGAAGGCCTGGCCTTTCCTTGAGCAATGCTCCTCTTTCAAGGCCCATAGAGGTTCTCCTGGATCAGAAAGGAGTATTCACCCGGCAGGGTGCCCATCATAGATGGGCAAAGTCCTCCACAGCCCTCTCCTCCTGCCTTCCAATAGGACCTTGTCTATGATGAGCC